CTGAAGCTGCTGGAACTATTGCATTTGGGCTTGCATGGCCTGCATGCATTGCACCAGGTCCTCGAGCTGGTTCTGGCTAGTCGCCGAAGGGACAATAGAGGGTTCGGTGAAAGTTGTCCCAACTGAGAAAGGAAGGGGAGCATTTACGGGTGCCACTGTCTGCGGCACATTCAGACTAGGGATTCCATCGGCAGAAAGGGGGACGATGAACTGTCCTATGCACACCGCAGGGACTGAGGGTTGTTCTTCGGTGGTGTTCATCTTCGTGCTACATCCAGCGTTGCTGGAAGAAGCCATGGATGCTAAAGTCTTTCTAAAGGTTGCTGAGATTGGAGGAAGGCTTTTTGAAGCGTTTCCCACAGATGGCGCCAAATGATGTAGCGCGATCCGAGCACACCTAGCTGGCGGAAACCTGGCTCCTAGCTGGCGACGGACGGTACCTGAGAAGAAGAGGAAGGTGAAGGATTCTCGGGGAGCTCGCCCGGCGAGAACACTCCGATGCTTAAGTTAGAACTCTGAGAGCTTTAGAGAATGTAAAGAAGGCTAAGAGTGCAGATAGTGCGGAATCAAAGATTACCTCCGCCCCTTGGGGATAGGGGCTCTTTTATATTGGAACTCTGTCAAATCAGGCGTAACCACCTCTGTCAAGTCAGGCGTAACCGCCTCTGTCTCCCTACCGCAGTCGTTACTGCCAGAGCTGAGGTGGCGTGCACAGGCCGCCGTTGCAGGGTACGGACCTGTCAGATGTGAGACATGTTTCAAAGATGGCAAGCACGACACCGCCTGACGAGAGACGTGGGCGTAGCCTCCAGATTCGGCAGGTACTATTGTCAAGCTAATATTTTCTGAGTCACCAAGCTATCTTGAGTCGAGCTATCTTCTACCGAGCTACCCTGTACCGAGGTACTGGTGGTGCACCGAGCTGCTTCTACTTGAGGCGAACCCTTAGAGACAAATTAGGAGAGCCAATGGTGCTGACCCGAAGTGTTTCCACTTCGGGATACTTAACTGCAGATCGGGGTGTTCCCTTCTCGGGAAGGAAGGGCTCAGAGCTCGTTGGAAAGAGCTCGGGTCTTAGGAGGAGCTCGGGGCCCCTCGCTTGGGGGGAGCTCGGGGCGCCCCACCCTTGAGAGGATTCAGGGTGAGCTGTGTGTTATTTCCCGGCGAGTTGCCTCGTTCACCAAGTTGCCAGGCTGGGCTCCGACGAATTCGTTACGCCGAGTTATGACCATGCTGCCATACTGTCACGCTGAGTCGTCACTTATTCCAGGTCATGTCCACGTGTCCCCGTGCTACAGGTCGGGCCAAATCACCCTCCATCACTAAATAAATAGTAATTACTAAGGTAGTGTCTATTTCTCAACTGGGTATTTGGTTGATTGGGTTCTCTGAGATGGTCAGGTTTGGTTTTTGAAAAACTTGTTAGAGAGAGAATTGCAAAGGGTACAAGGAAAAACCATTGATTTGATCTTGGGTACATCACCACTTGGATGAACCAGAGGAGAGCTTGTTATTTTTGAATGCAAATAGGGTAGACATCTAAGAATAGGTCAAAGGCTGGGTTTTGAAAGAAAATTTAATGAGATAAAAGGGTGAATTCTACGTCTCAACAAATGTTTATGCAGCTCAAATGAGCTGTTTCTGCCAATTCGGAGCCTCCCAAGGGATGCAACTTAGGGGATGGTTAAGTGTAGCTTACCCTTGTCTTTCCTTTAATTCATTTGTACCAACTTTCTTTAATTAATACCTTTTATACCTTTAAATAGAAGATAAATATAAGCTTGAAGCTTGTCCTGACTCCCTCCAGTATCAAACTCTAGTAGAACATCAATCAAGGCTAACAAATTGAATGACCAAATCAACAAGAATTCCCAATTTATAATTCAAACTCAGAGTTGACATTCTTCTTTTGAAAATTTCAGTAAAAGATTATTGGCAGAGTAGCTAGAGTTTGATAACAAATCTATCCTGAAAGTGTGGGTTAAATATTGCTAGTCTTGGGTTGGTTGTTGGAGACCTTAATTAAATCCTTAAAGCTGCATTTGTTTGTCTCTAAGGCATAAAATCATCTTAGCTAGAGTAAAATATTTCAACAAAAAGAATTCTTTTTTCCAACAAAAAGTTTTCATTGTAAAAGGAGAGAAGGCATAGCTCAAACATTTCAACTTGAAAAAATTTTCCTCAATAACACAACAAAATTAAACAAACGGTGCCCAACTGGTTAAGAAATATGGTGTTTCCCCTTTCTTGGTAATAATTTATAATTAATTTCTGTGAATATTTGGTGGGTCCAACCAGGGTAATTTGAAACCAAACTCAACCCCGAACCAAGTTCATACCACCATGAATATATATTTTGGTACAACTTCATATTATTTCGAGGAGATTTATTTTGGCAAAATTTCAGAATTTCAACCAATTTTCCAAATTATTATTAAAATAGTACAAATAAAAAAAAAAACTATAAAAAATTGGCAAAGTTATTAGGTCCACGGCCCCCCAGTATTCATTATTCAATAGTCATCCATCAGCTGCTAATGTTCACGAAGTCAAATTCTTTCTGGTTTCTAGTCTCTACCCTCTGGGTTGTAAAAATTAAAGAAATTGCTTCTTGGATAAAAAAAAAAAAAATTCCAGATTGATCAAAATCACTTTTGACCATCTGACCTTTGCATTAGTTGTCAATTTTTTTCTTCTTTCTTTCTTTCTTCTTCAGATTAACCCAGTATGAAACAAACATTTATGGCTGATATATTTTCTAAGTCTTTCTCCATAGCTAGAGGTTGAAGATGGACCCACCCAACGTGGGTCACGGCCTTCTATTGGTAGTTTAAGGACAATTATGTGGGCTCAGTGAATTTTCAGGCAGCTTGAGGAGACCCAGAATCAAGATTTCCTACGTAGCATCACTGAGGTAAACAATAGAAAATGAGTAATAAACAATAGAAAATGAGTAAGAATTAGAAAATTGGCTGATTGGCGAACTTGGAAGGAAAGGGCATGGTCATTGCTTTCTGGTCAATTAGTTGATCTCAGACGTGAATCCATCTCCTATAAATACCCCAATTCCCTCCCCTTAACGCATTCTCTCGTATACTCAGAATCATTTCTCCTCTTTCAGAATTCTCAATCCTCTGTCTTTCGTTTTCAAAAGTTATCCCCTCTCTCTCTCTCTCTCCAACAATATCGACAATACCGACAATATCGACACAAAATGAAAGTTGTTGGGGAGAAGAAATATGCTCTATTAATGGCATCCAAGGACTCTGATTACGTGAAGAAAGTGTATGGTGGGTATTTCAATGTGTTTGTTGCTGCATTCGGGGAGGAAGGAGAGCAATGGGACTTGTTCAGGGTTGTGGACGGAGAGTTTCCAGACGTAGATGAGCTCCACAAGTATCATGGTTTTGTGATCAGTGGCAGCCCTCATGATGCTCATGGAAATGACCCATGGGTCTTGAGACTCTGCGTTCTGATACAGACGTTGTTTGCCATGGAGAAGAAAGTGCTCGGAATATGTTTTGGGCACCAAGTACGTTACAATATACAGATGTGCAAGTATTCCATACAATTAACACAGTAAGTTTCTGTTAATGGTTTACTTATTTTTTCATTTTCTTTTAGGTCTTATGCCGAGCACTTGGTGGTAAGATTGGGAGAGCTAACAGTGGCTGGGATATTGGGTTGAGGAAAGTCAGGCTGGTGGAGGATTTGCACCCAAGTACCCTTGATGGTGGTCTCAAGGAACTCCCTTCTTTCCTTTCCATCATTGAGTGCCATCAAGATGAGGTCTCTCTCTCTCTCTGTCTCCGTCTCTCTCTCTGTCTCTGTCTCTCTCTCTCTCTCCATATACAAATTAATCAACAACTTATACAGCTGCATGTAAGCTTAATTCAGGTATGGGAGGTCCCAGTTGGAGCTCAGGTGATTGCCGTCTCAGACATGACAGGTGTAGAGATGTTCTCCCTTGGAAGCCATATATTGGGTATTCAAGGTCATCCTGAATACACCAAGGACATTCTGTATAACATAATAGACCGTCTGGCCAACAACAGCTGTATAGAGGTACGCAACTGTTTACTTGTTTAATTCATATCAAGCAATCTTTCATTCTAAGTCATCTCTAATCTTGGGTTGTTAATCAATCACCAGAAAGAGTTCGCCGAGCTCACAAAATCAAAACTCGAGTCTGCTGAACCAGACAGGAAGACATGGGAGAAGATTTGCAGGAGCTTCCTCAAGGGGAGATAGAATATATTTCGCCTGCACAACATTAATCCTCTTGAGTTCTAGGTTTCTGGGTATGTTTGTGTCCATAAAATCCCCACAACAGTTCATGCAAGAAGCTGTAAATGCGTTGTTTACGCTCTTTGCGTAGATGATCACCAATAAAGTTATTATGTTTAACATTAATAAGTCCATCATCATGGACTTATCCAGTAGATTGTAGCCTATCTTATTGGGGTGGTGACTAGTGAGTGACATCTGATGTAGTCTCTGATCTGTTTCAATAATCTAATGATGGGCCAGTGTTCTAATAAGGGCCCACAAATCGAATGCTTTGTATAAATGGGATATGAGAATGTGTAATCGTTGTATAGCAATATGGTGGTACCTGAATTGGGAGATTGAAAATAATTGACCAAGATGTATGTTGGAGAAAGAAAATACATAAAGTTTGCTAAGAATGAATATGTTTACGTGTATATGTAGAGAGATAATGTGATGATGATAAAGACTACTCCTAACTAACTAAGGAAAACAGATTTGGACCTTTGTTGGATCTTCATAGATAGTTACAGATCCGGTCCATGCCCATTTTGGTCAGGTTGTATCCTATTCAAAGAAACCGAAGCAAAGAGCCCAACATATTGTTGGTCACGTTCATCTAGCCATACATCGAGAGTATCAGTGATATAAAATATAAAAGATGTTCTCAATGTGTGGTTAGGTGAAGTGGCTAGCCATCTATTGTGCTTGTGCTTAGTAGATTCAAATTCTTCAACTGCCGCTCAACAATTAGGGGTGAATAAACTGTTTATTCTGTTAAAAATCGAATTGAATAAATCAAAATTTTAAATAAAAATTGAACAAAAATTGAAATATCATAAATTTAAAATAATTGAAATTTAAATTTTCAGTTTAGTTTTTGGTTAAAACTGAATTTCAACAGTATATATATAGAGAGAGAGAATAAGATTCCGTTAATTCAATTAACTGAATTTTTAAATCAGAAAATCAAAACCAAAATAACCAAAAACTAAAAAACCAAAAGCAACATTTTTTATTCGGTTTTTCGATTTTAACAATGCTCAACCCTATCAACAGCTGATTCGGCTGTCTGGATCTTTCACCAAAAATAGCTTATAAGCTGTCTCTGTTACAGCCCTCCCAAATGGTTACCAAGTGCCTTGCTGGTTGAGACTTGAGAGGGCTTTCTTTCTTTTGGCGAAAATAGAGTAAAAGTATTACATGTGCTTTATACTTTCAATACAGCACCATCAAATATTAGCAAAAAGGACCTTAATTTTCTATTACGTTGAAAAAGGGATACAAACTTATGAAAAGAAATAATTATTATATTAATAAATAATAAAATGTAATGTGTGATGTATCAATATTGTTGATTTGGATGGTCAAAATTATCCAAAAACCAGGATGAAACTAATTTCCTGATCCAACTTTTTTATATTTTGATAAATTGTATGCCACGTGGTGACATGGCAGAAGAAGAACTCACGTGTGCATCACAACTCAAATTTTACGAAAATCATTAAAATGGTTTAGGGGATGTTTTGAACCGTGGCCGTTTTTTGAAAAAATGGTGCCACGTCGAACCTACATAGGCATTTCAACAAACGTCCATATATCTCATTGTTTGGTTCGATCGATTATTAAAAAATCAGGCATGTCTTGAAAATTGGAACCCTATCGATGCATTAAGTTTTATGCATCAGTGAATCGTTTCCCCAACGGTTGACTGATTGTATCCTATGTGGTATTTACTTGTCAGCACATACACGAAAAAGGTGATAAAAATCATTTTACCAAACAGCATAGTGTTATTCACTGCCTACGTAACAAAAGCATTTTTTTTTTTGTAAAAAATGAGTCTTGAAAGCATAGGAATTTTTTCTTGAATATCAGTCCCAAAAAATGGCTATACTTCCAAACACCATGTTAATAAGTAGTTTAATCAACTAGAGTTTAATTGATTAAAATATACGACATTAATTTGCTGGCTCTATGTTTTAACACCCATAAGATGAAAGTCCGGAGACATGACATGACTCTTTCAAACAGGTAGAGTTGGTCAAGGGGATTTGTTAAGAGAAATTATGAGAACTCATGAACCGAAGGTGAGTCACCTTTGTTTCATCCAACATGAACAAATATTTGGCGTTGACATATGTAAACCTTTGCAAGAAGGATGTGAGTAGGAATCTCTCAATGGAAAAACTTTGGCTGTTGGCCCCTGTTGAGAACATTTTTGAGGATGTCATAGACATGGGCATGAATTGGTGAACATGTCCAGCCTAAAAACGCTCCCAACAGCATACATTGTTGGGGCCAACAGCCAAAGTTAATTCTACCAATCTGACGCTGCACATCTTATACACAGTGGCTCCAACTTTTATGACGGATTCCAGTCTTACGGCGAGGGTATTGGATCGATCATGTTGGTAGGGTGTTGAAACATGTTTTATTTGTAGGAAACCTCAACTCCCAAAATATGCCTAACCTAATAAATATTTCAGGAGAATCAGTCGCTCCCATTAGCAATGTGGGGCCCTAATTTTATAGGTGGCCTATGTATTTGGAAAATGAGCTTTTGTTTTGGGATTTTCTTTATTGATTCCTTCGATCACCTCATCAAATTTTATAAGATTATTATACAGTTGGGGGTTTGGGACAATACATTCAACAAAAAACAATAAAAATTTATGAGAGAGTAAAGCATAAATCCTCAAACCATATGCCTTCAATGATGTCAGAGGATGGATGATTCACCCAATGGTGACCCATTTCGACACTGCTAAGACAAGGGAATGAATGGAATTGCCTAATTGATCTTAAAATTAAAATCTACATGAGCTTATCCATGGTTTTTAAAATCGATTAAGAGATTGAACTGGTCAGGGGTCCCGTTACTGGGTTGAACGGTCTGACCATTTGACCCGAATGGTCGGCCCATTCTGACAAAAAAAATAAAAACCAGTTAAAACCGTTCAAATGGTTAAATGCCCGGATCTGCAGTTTATTGACTAAAATCAACGGTTTTTATGGAAAATTCGGTTTTGGGGATAACCGGAACCGGTCACCAGTTCGGTTCCCGGTTTTTCCGGTCCAGTTTTGCAAACTATGATTTTATCACTTATGATTTTGGTTGATTGATTATATATAAGTTTTTCTGGTATTGTCTTTTCAGTTTCATAATTATAATTGAAAATACAAAAATTAAAAAAAATATATATCCTTCAATATCCAACTGGGATTGATGAAAAAGGATTGAAACATTGGAAGTTCCAATTGAAGCTTTTATGATGTTACTGTAGTCAACAATATTAAAGAAAGACCTACCCTTACTATGTCTAATTCCTTCACTTTGCTCTTAATTAATCATAACAAAGAAAGAAAAAACAAGATATAGAGAAAAACGAGTTGGGACCCATATAAAAACAAAGACGACCCTCCATATCCATTAAACCAAACGTAGTGAACAATTAGAGGGTTAGTAGAGAGTGTAGTTGTCCAGGATAGACCTGTTCATGGGCCGGGCCGGGCCGGGTTTTTACTATATTAACAAATTTTTTTAAGGCCCGAGCCCGAGCCCGGCCCGACCATTGGGACTACAATTTGGGCCCGAGCCCGGCCCTCATAAAAAGCCCGAAGCCCGAAGCCCGAGCCTGGGCCCGGGCCCGAAATTTAGCCTATATTATTATTATTATTAATGTTGAAGCAGCTGAATAAAGAGAGAGATAGATTGAAATTATAAAGAAAAAAATAAAATATATATATATTAAATTATAAATATATATTTTAATAAATATTATATTATTTATATATTTTATATAATATATAAAATACATATTATCTATTTTATATAATATATAAAATACATATTATATATTTTATAAAATATATAATACTGAGTCGGGCCGGGCCGGGCTTTTTTGACAAATCCCGAACCCGGCCCGAAACACAGTCGGGCTTACTGTGTTAAGCCCGAGGTCAGGCCCGCGGGCCTAATTATATGACCAAACCCGGCTGGGGTGCGGGCCGGGCTGGGCTGGGCCGTCGGGCTACCCGGCCCATAAACAGGTCTAGTCCAGGACAGGTGGTATCTGCATTGGATACTCCCTCCGTTAAGTCTTTTTATTAATTTTCCTTGGATGAGAATGGATCATTACCCCCTGTCGAGTTGGGAGACCATCAAAATCCATTCAAACTAAATTTTTCCTTCTTTCTTTCTTTCTCTGCATTTGAATTTAGTAATGCTTCAATAATTAGATAGAGATAAGATGAAAGACGATTAGTTCAAGGTCTAGGCTATTGATTCGCATCCGTAAAAGTAGATCAAAACCCACTGTTTAGTTTATGTTGGGCCAAAATTCAACCTTATTATTAGTTAACTTCAATCAGGTAATTTCCCTTATTTTTATTGTTTGGAATAATGTTTTAAAAATTGATTCAGAACCGGAACTGCTTTGGCTACCGGTTTCTGGGTCAGCAGTTTGATCGTCTGTTCGATACATTTGATACATCTTATTTATTTTTTTTAGTTTTTGGTCATATCTTTTTCATAATGTATTGGTCAATATGCTTGATACACCCTTTAATACACCTTTGATATACCCCCGATATGGTCCGATACAGTGAAAAAAAAAACAATACCGCTGATTTTCCACCGTATCTTGTATCGAACCTCTAAAGATACATATCAAGAGTATCGTATCGAAATTTGAAACCTTGACACTACTAAACATAAAGCTTCGATGGGGTATGCATACATAAGAATCATATATCCTAGTGGGCTTTACGAAAAATACATCAAAATCAACGTACAAGAACACATTCAAATTTATCCAAGTATCTAATTATCATGTTCACACTTCACACTTCATAATTCACAATTCACATTCAAATTCATATTTCTTGCTTCTAAGATGTTACAATAAATGAATTTAATATTTTAGTTCCCTAAAATAAAAAGCATTACCTAGTATGATAGTGATAATTTTTTTTTTGGTATTTAAATTTTATTAAAATACCATATGCTTAACTATTTGTAAATTATAATTTGTATGTTCTAAGGGATATGTGGGGAAAGTCCACATATCCTATCCAACCATAAAACATACATCAGCATAACTTCTTAGTGAATATACAATTCATAATTATTTCTTATTT